CTGCTGACAGTCACATATGCATTAGTGGCTGGCCACCTCTGCCTCAGCAGCCCTCAGGATCATGCTTTCAAACAACAAAATTAAATTGTTTTATTAAACAACAATAATGATAAAGTAAAAAAGTCAGGCACTAGTATTTTCTATGCAGATACCTGAGCAATAATAATTAATGGATTAATATGAGCTATAAATTGAAAAGCATAGCATGTATTTTCCTATGCACACTGTTGTACGTGGGACAGAAAAATGCATAGGATTCAGTGGAGACGTTTATTCCTTGTCTTGGTCACAGCAATGCTATGAATTCAGATGGAAACACTGGAAGCCACCAATGAGAGCTCACCTGGCTTCCCATCCTGGGTAATGGACAGTGTGCTCTGATACATGAGTGCCATCACCAAAAGCAGAGCAGGAGAGCTGTACATGATGGAAGCACCGAGTCCTCATTAACTCACCTCAGTTGGAAAATACAGAATCCCCATACTCATCCATGGAAAGGAAAAGCACTTATGCTCATTTCTATTCAGTGCACACAGATATTTTTTCATAGCTGATGTAGGCTGTAGTTTCTAGCCTAGTCTAACTTCTTTAGAATGTCTCATGTCCATAGAAATAATCCATCTATGTATCCGATCAATGTGTGAACCACTTCAAAAAGTACATATATAATAATCTGATCTGTTTAAAAGATATGTTATCTTTCCTAAAAGAATAGTCCCTAGCTGGGATCTCACTGTAACTAGTTAAATAGTAAGCTAAGCATATCAACTTACCAGAACCTTTCTGTCCTGTGTCACCTGTAAAGAATACATATATAATATTGATATATATTCAGAAAAATAAATGCCCCAATTCAACTCTGTATGTGCAGAGCAGTCAGGATGCACAGTTCTCTACCACTATTCAGCAGCCAGAATATCACTTCTGTAGTCTTATATAAAGTAGCTTCAGTAACTAAGGATGTGCATTCTGGAATTCCCAAACCAAACATACACAAAAATTGTTATTTTGAGTAGCTACTGTGATTTTCCAGAATGGTTATACAGACCCAGGATTTTTATGCACTTCCAGATTTAGATGATGGTCAGCTCAAGATTGAATTTCTGTAACTCGCTCTATGCTGGCCTGCCCTTGAGACTGATCCGGAAACTCCAGCTGGTCCAGAATGCGGCAGCATTGGTCCTGACTGGGACATCATGGTCCACACATATTCAGCCAGCTGCACTGGCTCCCAGTAGAGTACTGGGTCAGGTTTAGGGCTGCCAAGTGGGGGCAGGGAAACCCCCGCTTTAGAGGCCCGATTTCCGCCGCGGCGGAATCAGGCCCTGGGGGGAACTCCACCCCCCGAAGCTGCATCACCAGAGATGACGCAGCCACGTCGCTCATGTTGGGGGCGTGGCCCAGATCATTGGGGGGGGGAACCATATGGATCTGGGCCACGCCCCCAACATGCTCTACATCGTGCGTCACTTCCTGTGAGGTTCTGGCGGCGCACGCGCATCCCTCATCAGCTCCCAGACCGAATCAATGCTCCCCCGCCGGTGAGTCATAAAGACTTGGCAACCCTAGTCAGGTTCAAAGTTTTGGTATTGACCTTTAAGGTTTTGAGCACTCTGGGGTCTATGTAACTTCGGGACTGCCTGCTCTGGTATGTCCCCCAAAGAGCTTTATGCTCTGCTGGAAATAACCTGCTTATGATCCCTACCCCTAAAGATGTCCGGCTGTCCTCGACCAGAGCCAGGGCTTTTTCAGCTGTGGCTTGTACCTGGTGGAACACTCTACCAAATAACGTGCATGACCTGTGGGACCTTAAGGAGTTCCACAGGGCATGTAAGCCAGACATGTTCCACCAGGTGTTTGGTTGAGGACAGCAATGGGTATTATCTGGCACTCCCCCCCCCAACACCTTGCTTTTCCCACTTGCGGTACAGTAATACATATCTACTTTGCCACCATTTGATGTTCTTTTAACTTTAACTTATTTGTTTTATTTTTGGTTTTATATTGTGTGGGGTTTTTTTGTTACATTGTATTTTTGTTGTCAACTGCCTTGAGCCCTGTGAACCCTGGGAAGGGTGGTATAGAAACTGAAAGTATAAATTTAAAAAATGAAATCATATAGTTTTTCATGTTTGTGGTTAACTATGAGCAGAAGGCACACAGGCACACACAGACACACACTCCGAATTTCCCTGGACAGTGGCCTGGGGAAGGTGGCTCCCAGCCAGCACAAGCCAGACTCAGGGCTGGGCAGAGCTGTGACTTTGGCTGACTCCCTCTACTTCTCTCCCTCCTTTGTGGAGGCAGAGCCCTTTTCCCCTCTGCAAGTAGGATGCTGAAGGCACTTTTTTCAGGGACCTTTGGAGTTGGAGTCCATGGTCCAATTCACTTGAAATGGGGGGGGGAGGGACTTTAGTGGACAGGTGGCACCAGCTCCCCTACTACTTTGGGGACATTTGGTTGAAAAACAGCCACTTCAGTTCTGGCTGGCTCCTTCTCTTTCCTTTGTGGGGCAGAGTCCTTTTTTCCTCTGCCAGTATGTTGGCCGGGGGCACCTTGTTCAGGGGCCTGCAAGATTTGAAACCCTTGGTCCTCCATTATACATAAAACTTGGGGATCTTTAGATTAGAACTGTGCACAGTGCAAATTTGGTGCCATTATCTTTATAAACAGCTGGCACAGACCACAGACCTTCAGTTTTTTCCACATTGGAAAATAAAGGGTCCCAATAATCCGGAACCGCAAAAAAGCAAAACAAAGCACAGGAATTTGAAACCCGTGGGGGGACACCTTTGGAGCATATGTTTGTATTGCTTATGTAAGTCTTACAATGATTGTTTGGCTGGAATAAATACATTCAGTCAGATAAATCAGTAATTAAGTCATCAGTATAGGTATTTCTGTACCTATTTTCCTGCACATAATGTCATTAACCTCTTATGACATTATGTGCAGGAACCCTTTCCTGTTTCAGCACACTGTTGCCAATGAAGGAGGACAATCCATAGGAATTGCTGCTTGCAAGTCCACTAGCCTGTATAACCAAGCAGAGCAATTAGAAGCCATTGCTGAAATAGATATCTCAGTCTGGGTAATGGCCAGCCGGGATAATGGGCTGGGCATAGCCAAAGGCTGACTGGGAAAGGGACAAAGTCAGGTGGGTAGTCATGTTCAAGTCCAGTGGCACCTTTAAGACCAACAAAATTTTATTCAAAGTACAAGCTTTCATGTACACACGTACTTTCTGTTTCAATGTATCTGAAGAAGTGTGTGTGCACATGAAATCTTATACCTTGAATAAAACTTTGTTGGTGTTAAAAGTGCCACTGAACTCAAACTTTGTTCTGGGAAAGGGACAGTTTTATTATTTTCCTCAGAATTCCTAAAAGCCATAGTAAGGCTCCTTCTATGTGTTTCTCAATGGATGGATTTTACCAATAGTAACAGTATCATAATCTGATCTTCCCCTATTGAAACTGAAATTCTATTAGATGTAAGTCAATCAACAAGCAGCTGATTCTGATACATGATATTTTTATCTGAATTTATCATTTAAACTGACTGAAAGGAATAGGAAAACATTCTATTTAAAAAAGAAAGAACAGAACAGTACCTGAGCATGTAACACCAGCATCTTCTTTATGATCACAGTTATGGATTTTCCATCCACGATGTGAGCACTGAGCAAAAGAGGATTCATTCCCTATGCACTCTACATTATCTAGGAAAATGTCACCTGAGCCTTGGCCAAAATGGGCACCGATTTGAGCAGAGTGAGCTTGTCCACAATTCAGATGCCTGCATACAACACGTGCATTATCTATGTCCCAAGCATCATCACAGACGGTTCCCCACCTTCCATCGTGATATACTTCAAGTCGACCTTCACATTTGTTTGATCCATTGACCAATCTCAAGGGAACATCTGTGAACAATAAACAGATAGTTCTTTTTAGAAGTGATAGTTTGTGCTCTCATCTACTGATTTTCTTTTCAAGAGAATGGGAAGAATTATACAACAAAAAAATTGCCTTTTGTTTCAATGTGAAGAGACAAAAATAATTTTAAAGGGAGAAACTCATTGTCTGGTTGGAATATGAATAAAAGAAAATTATTATTTTATCTTATCCAAAGACTCTTTAGAACATTGTATCTTATGTATATTTAAACATAATAATACAAGCCACCATTAAAAACAGTATTTAATTTTTGATTTAAAAAACTATTGAAGGTATTGAGTAAATAAGAAATAAACATCACCAGGTATTTATTGTCCCGTGAAAAGTATATATATATTTTAAAAAATAGTTGTTTGATGTGAACATAGGGCTGCCAAGTGGGGGCGGGTGGTGGGTAAACCCCTGCTTCGGAGGGCCGGTTTCCACCGCCGCGGAATCGGGCCCCGGGGGGAACTCCGCCCCCTGAAGCGCAGCATGGCTGCGTCACTGGAGGTGACACAACCACGTCAATCACGTTGGGGGCATGGCCCCGATCGTTGGAGGGAAAACTCTATGGTTTTCCCTCCGATGATCGGGGCCACGCCTTCAACATGATTGACATCACACGTCACTTCTGGTGATGTGCTGGCGGCGCGCGCGCGCACGTCGAAGAACGGCTCCCGGAGCCTGGCGAGGCTCCCCCGCTGGTAAGAAGATTTGACTTGGCAACCCTATATGAACATATTCTCAATTATAGGTTAATGTCCATAAGTTAACCTTACTTTAGAAACTGCTCGACCTACATTCTCTTTCAACTTACATAGGCAGTTAGAGAAGGCAGTCAAAATTTCACTTTTTTGTCAATATGAGCCCACTGGAGGGCATAAACTGAGTTCATTAGCCTTGCAGGGGTGAACTGGCCACTGAGAAAAGTCTCTGTGGGCTAACACCCTGGAGGACTTATCTGCCTCCACTTTTTTCTGAGTCTACCCTAGCCCAAAACAACGAGTGGGGAAAATCTGCCACCACTGCAAGCCAGTGGCCCTCATCCTGTGAAATGTGAGGGAAGGATATGCCTGGGCTGGCATCCCACTTGGCACAGTGAAGGACATGCCTGGCCTACCCAACCCAGCATGGCAAAGGATGCTCCCAGCCCCACCCCATAAAGGATATGCCCAGCCTGGCCTCACTTGCACTACACAGAGAAGGAGGCACTCACATTGCCCATCTCGCAACTGTGGTGCTTGGCCAAACTGCACTGCAGGGGGCTGGCTGAGCAGGCTCTTTCTTCACCTTCCCTGGGGGGGGCAGGCAAATTGGGGGAAATGGCTCTTTTGCAGAGCTGTGTTACCTCCTCCTCCATCCCATGGCCCTATATATGTTCACATTGCTGGACCAATGCAGCCAGTACAATTTTGTATCACTAACTTTCCAAATTTACATGAAGGAAAATGAAACATTATTCTGTGTGCAGAAGTTCCCAACTGTTAGCTCAGGCTAAAGGTTCCCAGAAAATATGGGTAAGAAATCTTACAGGGATTGTCACTCAGAGTACACAGTACTGAAACAATGACTCAATTGTCCTGTATTCTGTAGGCAGTGCCAGTCCAGTGTCCTCAAGTGGCAGAGCCTCAACCAGAGCTGGAAGTAAGAAGCTGCAGCTAAAACACAGGCTTGCACCTAGCAGACCAGTTGAACCAGCAAGCTCCCCTACCTAGCTCAGGGCTTATATAGACTGAGAGGACAGCAGCTCCATCTGCTGTGGAAACAGCACCTGGGATTCATCTTGCGAGGTTTAACTGGGGCCAGAATCCTACAAAGGATTGCATCCATTATGCTCTGTCCCGGGAGGTGGAGAAAGGGCTGCTAGCTTGGCACTGCATCTTTGCTGGGCCATCTTGACCCAAGCCCTCTGCCTCCACTGCTCCAGCCAGATAGAGGTGGATTCTGGTGGGCTTGTGGACCAAGTCCTGGACTAGTGCTTAATTACTGTAGGGCCTGGGGGGACAGAGGGAAGTTCTGGCAGAGGAGCGGACACCTATGTCAGCGAGCTGACACCTATTGTGGGCTCCTCTGGGGCAAGTTCTGGAGGATCTCCCACTGCAGATTTCTCAGAGACAAGTTCTGAAGCAGATAAGCCAGGGACATCTGCCCTGCAGGGGCCTTCCAGAGCTGTCTGCTGTCCCCCAGACCATGTCTGGCTCTTGAGGCTCTTCAGAGGCTTCTGAGTCAGTACAGAGCCAGATCAGTGGTCTTGACATCAACCGTCTCTCTTCAGTGTAAATCAATT